TTGTGAAATCGCAAAGGCTCATAAACTTCGAAAACCTGTAGAAAACGCAAAAAAACCCTTCGTTTTATTAACTAAAAATCGCCACTTTGTACAAGAGTCAATTTTTACTTCACTACATTCAACATTGTTGGGAGTTGTTGCGTCCGTTTGCTTGTAGCTCTAGCGACGAGAAGGAAACTGGGAACCTGAGCCAAAATGCATCCCGCAATTGCTTCTGGGATTGTCACTAGGTACGCGCGGGTCAGCTATTGGCCAATTGTTTTCCCTGTCTCTTGTAACCAAGGTAACCATCCTTGCGAAAGTAAACTCGGTCCAGGTTTCTCCTCGTCTCTAAAGTTGTGCGCGAGTTGGAGACAGCATTCAATGTCAACATCTTTTTAGTACAGTAAAAATCACTATAGCTCTTATGTGGTTGTTTGTTTTAATTAATTCCACGCTTAAATAAATATTCAGCGGTTTAATTCTAATTTTCGGACAAATATCCCCGCCACAGGCCGGGCATACGGAAGTCATCCCTCTCCCTCCCCTCCTCGCTCCACTTTGCGGCCATACAGTAGAAACTCGCACAACTCATAAGCAGTTTTTTAAAAGTGCTGTTGAGTTTAAAAAAATCTTCACCCAACAGGCGAACCCTTGTTTCCTTTTTTTGCCTCATTAGCATAGACTTTAATATCGTTATCTGATGAAGCTAAAAAATTGAAAATCCTAAATAATGAAAAAGAATAACAATTTCAGTTTTCCTTGAAAATTTTAGCCCGATACACCAAATACAGTCGAACCTCTCGGTACGGACACCACTCTATTACGGACAGTTTCTAATGTCCCAACAAAATTCTCACATATTTTCTTTCAAAAAATCTCTGTAATACGTACTCTCTCTATGTACGGACAACTGACACTAAATCTCGGCCCAAGAGAGTAAACTCATACAAACTTAACCTCTTTGTTACGGACACTGTGGTGATCAGGTGAATCCCGAATCCCGATCAGATGAATCTGCATAGGGTGTATACTGTCTAGTCTGGCTGATGGGCTATGCAAGGTGATATAAAGCCCTGTCGCTGTATACCAACAATGATTTGCGAAAGGCGTACAGAGGAACATAACCCACTTTTTGAAGGCATCAATAACTACAGACAGCAGAAAGATCTTTTCTATCACATCGATATCACATTTTGTTCTCTAGTTACTGTTTACTGCACTTGCAAAATAGCGAAAGACGCTTTCAGAATTGTACTTTACGTTACTGACTTTTTACGCCATGCAGCATTTCGCCGTAGCTCGTTTTGTTTGAAGACAGTATTTTGTCTGTAGCTGAGATGTATAATGTTCTATGCTACTGAAAGACAATGTCTTTGTACTGTGAATTAATAACTTTAAATGCAGTTTAAAGACGAGTGTTAGCCTGGAAATAGCTACTGAACACTTAAAACTGTAACTGGAGTGCCATAAAAGTGACGTCATCATAGTGACCTCTTTTATACACACACCTCTCTAATACAGACACTACGCTCTGTCCCCTCTATGTCCGTTTTAAAGAGGTTCGACTGTTTTTTGAAAAAAAAAAAAAAAAAATTACAAAGAATGTATGAGCTCCTTAACGTTTTGCCATCCTGTAATTTTGCATTTTTTATTTTTGCTGCTGTTTTCTTTGCTACTGATTGGAAAGAGCTGAATCTTGCACAAACTGCATATTAAATAAACCAGCTCCTTCAATTTTCAGTTTGCACTTAATTGGTATATACGGCTACAGCTTCTATGGGTTAACTCGTATGCTAATGAGCAAAAATGTAAACAATGACGTCAACATGAATCCGCCTATAGCCTCTTTCAAAAATCATATGTCAGAACATGGAAGCTGATGTTAGTTAGAGGAATTCAAGCTTTCTAACTTTTTAGCAGTTAAAGCAACGGTTGGGGGGAATTTTAGCAACCAAAAATAAAATCATAGGAGAGAATTTAAAAGCCTTCTTACATGTGCCAAAATGTGCAGAAATTAGTTGGAGCAATGCCCAAAAAGTTTAATGGAATTTCATTTTTTCCTACTTTCTCTGCATAAAAATATATATCACACGATCTCAGTCGTATAGCTTTGGTTTGGGTCAGAGTGTACTTTGGTGTTCACGTTTGATAACACATAACCATTCTAAGCTTCTTTGCATAACTATCATCTTTCACGTTGGTCTCTGCACTGTTATGTTGGACTAAGGAACAACTTGCAAAACTTATTGGGTGCTCATTAGACATTATTTTTACTCACCCGTTCTCCAATCGCCATCATCTTCGACACAAAACTTGTCCCCGAACGCCCTTGGCCGACAATAAGCAAACTCCTTCTTTGTGGCAATGTAGTGTAGGACGAAACGTCCTCGGCAATCATGTTTTTCGAAACCAGAGTTTCAGGCGACGGAAGAACATTGGTATAGAAAAACAGGATGACAAAGAGTGTTAGGACGATAAGAACTACGCAGCAATGACGGTTGCCTAACCGCTTTACCATCCTGCAGCAAATTCTAATCGCATGTATCAGAATTTCGAAATGGTCACCGGATTTATCCGTGATTGGAACGACCTTTGAGGACCTTTCTTGCGGATTGAGACTAATTCTGATATATGTCAATACGAAATGATAAAAGTGTTGACATAGAAACACTAAAATTTCTTTCGAAGCTCAATTGGCAGGAAATATATTTTTTGAAAGGATGTGTTTATATTTCATCTCCATTAAAATTAACATGACACGGAACAGAGAGTCCAAGAAACTATGGCGAGGGAGTGACAGCTAAAAGAATTCATATTAATAAGATTTTAAAACCTAAATTTAGAGGCAAAATCACGATTTCTTATCTTACCGGTAACTACCGGAAGTCGTGTGGCCGGCTAGAAGATTTGACACGTTACTAAAGTTGTTCATTCATTGGTAACGAAAAATGTTAGATGCTATTCAAATAATTTACTTTTGATCGTACTTATTTTATTTTTTTGGGCTGATTGTGCTTATAGGTAAACCAAAATTACCTGTCCCATTTACGTCTATAAAAAAAATTCTCAGTGCAATATTTCAGGGACCATTTCTTCTCTTTTCATCTTGAGTTTATTACCAATTAAGTGTGGGAAAGAAAATAATTAAACTTTCCTTGACTTTTTAATTAATTTTGGTGCTGTTTGGAAGAAAATATATTTTGATTAATAACTAGGTCTTCTTAATTGCTTTGCTACACTTTTTTATATCAACTTTGGTAGCTAGGCACTCTCACACTAATTTTGTTACTCATGATTTCAACTCACTTGGGCCGACACTCCTAGTAAGTGAAAGAAGGACAAGTGGTTTTGACCAGATTTCAGTTTAATACTAAGGTAATGGTAAGGTACTTGAAGTGTTAAATATTTCCCAAGAATAAAAACAAAACTGACTCCAAACGTAGAGAAGAGTCATAGAAGTACCCAAACAATGGAGAGAGGAAATACTGCTGTGAGATGGGCACCATGTTGAATAGTTAGTTTGCATTTTGTCTGTATTGTTAAGTTAAAAGCAAAGTAGTTCCAGAAAAAATTGTTATTCAAATGGCTGAAAAATACGTTAAAATAAAGACAACAAACTCATCAAGTAGAAACAAGTGGAAGGATTGATACGCTATTTAAATAACTGTCAGAAAAAATCACCAAGAAAATAGTCTGCGAATTATTTTTGTGCTTGCGCTAATTTTGTTACCTTTATTTTCATAGAAAACACCTGAACAAATAAAATACTGCTTAAAATTGATATTCAGTGGCCTCTGTTGCCATGGTTTCCAAGCTTGGCACAAGTATTGAGAAAGACCGACCACTGATCTCTAGGGACAAGACGAAGCACAATTAAATTTGTCTCTGATCTTCATGGCGGTTGTATATTAACCTAATCAACCTCGTTCCCTCAATCGTCTTTTCGTCCTATATTTACTGGTTTCGAAGCGAGGGAGACTGGTTGCGGGTCTTTGTGTTATAGGATTATCACAGGAGCCGGCTCCTGATTATCAACAAAAGACCCATCTATTCAGAAAGAGCTTAGCGAGTTGCACAAAATCCCCACGTTCGGCGTTTATGGGAAACAATATTGAACGCGATATAGCTATTGAAACTCTCCAAACATTTCTTTGAACAGCAGTATTTTAACACCAAACGTGGGTATTTTGTAACTGTAACTGTAACTGTGATGTGCTCCTTTTTTGACTATGTGGGTCTCTGGTTTTGATTATCCACAGACTTAAACCCATACCCCTCCGTTTGGGACCTGAAATCCCTGGAAACGACAGGGAGCTTTTCAAAACTGAGCAAAATTCGATCCCTGTGGTATTGTTCAGCTTAACCAACTGAATCACAGACTTTTCTTTCAAAGAAATTATTGGTTAATGCTACTAAAGAAGTTTGCGCTTCCGACTACCACCCAAACGTAAAACAAACATAAATAAATGAAATAATATGCTCATCAGAAAATCACTCCAGTGGACACAGATTTATCGCGCCAAAGGACTGCAAAAACAACAAAGGCAATCTTATCAAACGTCCCTTAATCCATATCGCTCGAAAGAGGAAAAAGCAAAGGGAGTTTTTTGCTATAGATTTTCTGAAAGTAGCGAAAATTAAACAGTGTATATTTTTCTTTCTTTGTCGCTGAAAGGAAATATCGCCCTTCCGTCTTTTCATAGATTTCGTAAGACCGCCGGAGAACCGTTTCGCCGATTTAAATACTCAATTGAAAACATTTCCATAATAAAAATGATAAAAGTCGTCCTTGTTTCTGAATGTAAACACTAGAAAGGAAAAAAGTGGCGGAGGGTGGGTGGCTTCCTGCACAAATCCTTCCAATGATAATTTTTGAATACAGCTTTCGAGAAGCTGAATTACAGCAGTTTGGTATATCTTACTTTGTTGGTTAATTATGACCAAGCCCCAGCTCAACCCGGCTCTATTCAGGGGACACTTGCCTCCTACTGTATTTGGAAATACCCCCTTTTTGATAGAGAAACTGAGATCAAGAGATGGGTAGTTATTGCTTAGCCTGTGCCGTTGACAGACCCCTCTTCCACTCAGGAGGAGGGGGGTCTGTACACAGGCTATTATTGCTCATGGTTTTATATAATGACTGAACCGCTGCGCCTTAAGAACAGGATTTTGAATGAACCGGAACAATGAGCATTTCAATCTCTGTTCTTTTTCAGCACAATATCCTGAAATACAACATTCAAATGAAAGTTACTGAGCTGTACTTTCCCGAAATAAAATATTTATCATTTTATGTACAAGGCGCGGGCAGACTATCACTCGATTGCCTATGCATGTTGTCCTACTGTTTAATTTATTACGCCGCAAAACATAAGAGCTTGACTGTCTAACTGATTCGCGAACAAGTATATGCGAACTTTCTTGAACGCAGCACAAGGTCTTTCTACCAATGACAATTCAAATTATGGTTTTTTTTGGGCCAATAAGCTGTTGCATGCAGTAATTTTACAAAGTCAAGAGAGCCTGGCCACTACACGTTCAGGATTTTTTCCAGCCTCTTTCACTGATGGATGAACTTGCATTCCCTTTGTTCCAGCACAAAGAGACCCGGTCAAGCTTCCGCCTATTGTGGATTTAGGAAATTGTGAACTCTACCGCTAAACAACTCAACCGTTATTAATTAACCCTTGTGGATTTACGAGAAGTACTAAGCGCCTTTAACCCAAATTCAGTTGAAGAGAAAAAGCGCAGCTGAAAGCGTAGTTCAAAAGTGTGAGACTATTTTTGAAATCCTTAAATGTGTCCATATTTCAAATGAAAGCTACAGAGTTTCCTGTGGTACTGTTATTTTGCTAATGAAAGGTTGCTCTAACTTTTGAATTCAGTCTGCGGATGAAATCCTCAAGTGTGACCATTCAAATGAAAGCTACTGAGCAGTACTTTTCTGTGTTATGATACTGTTCATTATGCTGTACAGTGGCGCCGGTTCTAACTACTGAGTTAGTGGATCAGAAATCCAGTGCTTCCGGGCCAAATTTAAATGAAAGCTCTTCAGCAACACTTTTACTTGGTATTAAATAAAGTGTAATTAAGAGTTGAATGAATGAATGAATTTCAATTTGAAGCACCCTAGGGAGTAAAATCTTAATAAAGAAAGAAGTTAAAATTACTAAAAAACAATAACACGATAATGAACAAAAGAAAAATAAACAAAGAAGCGTGTGTTTTGCAATCACATTGAAAGGACAATCACAAAAAACAAAATATCAGCTCAAAGCCCAGTCCTCATGTATCCGAACATTCTTGAAATCGCCGATTTTGTCCTCCGTTTTAGCCCTCCGTCCACACGTAAACGGCGTTTTCGGGCAACAAAAACTCTGGTTTTCGAAAACAGTCCCCGGAGCGGAGTTTTTTGAAAACGCCGGCTGATCGTTTTTATGTGAAAGGACGAAAATGATGATTTCATAAATTATAAAGCCCATGTCCTGTAAGGGATGATATCGTATTTTCACTGTTTTAGTGTTTTCGTGGGCGTGTGAGCGGGCGAAAACTAGCCTGCGTAGCAAGCGTTTCCGATCGAGTCATTGCGCGAAAGTTAGAGCGGGAGCAAAAAAAAGGTGGAAGGGGGAGGGGGAGGGGAGAAAAGTTTCCTTCTTTCCCCTCTCCGTCCCCCGTCATTTTTGCTTTCGTCCCGACGTTCTCGACGAACTCGCGCGGAAACGCTTGCTACGCAGGCTAGGCGAAAATTAGCCTGCGTAGCATGGCGGTTTTGTCGGGTGCATCACTGAGCGGCCAAGCACTAAAAGCGGGCGCGAACAAACGGCGACGCCCGATCTCTTCGCAATTTCACTGCCTTTGCCCACCTTGGCTTGTTTACGCACCCGACCAAAACCGCCGTGCTACGCAGGCTAAGCGAAAACGTGATTCCAATACGCTTCGTGTGGGCGGCGCGTATTTTTTTCGAAAACGGAGAAAACTCTCCGTTTTCCAAAATATCCAGATACTTGTAGACAGGGCCTAAAACGCTTCACGAGGAAGGATAAATGCCCAAGTAGAATCCCATATGAAAAGTACTGGGATGATCGCCGCGGTCTCGCTTATAGGCTGGTGGGATTGAAGACTTTGGTCTCATTTGGGCTGTTCAGGATTGAAAGAATACATTTTACTGATCCATACAGATATCGCTTGATATAGAGCGTAAAAATATATAAACAGATAATCAAACGCCGTCATACTTTGTTTAAGACAGAATTCAAATGTTGCAACATATTTCTTGGAATTGAAATCACCATAGCTCTTAATTGGTTGCTTATTTTAGTTAGGTCTGTTGTTGGGGGTCAAATACAGCCTCAGTCAGGCCTAGCTCGTCCCTCTTATTCGAGAGTCATCCCCCCCCCGTCCGGATAAAAAGAATAAAATTTTAGTCGATTGACTTGACCTTGGTACAAAATACATGTTTGGTTTCCCTGCTTCCGGCAAAAATGGAGATTTTTCAACCCACAAATTTCATAATTAAAT